CCAGCAGTAAACAAGAGTAAAAGGACACACACACACACACACACACACACACACACACACACACACATACACACACACACACACACACACACACACACACACACACACACATCTCTCTGTCCACTCCTGGAATGAGTGTGTGTGAGGAACATCAGAGTTGTTGTTCTCTCATTTGTTAGACATGATGTTCCGCCAGTGATCAGACTGCGACACACACACACACACACACACACACACACACACACACACACTCACACACACACACTCACACACACACAGTTCTGATAGAGTGACACTGCAGCTGAATCAGTGGTCGGTCATCTCTGTGTCTCAGGAATCTGCACAAACTGTACTCTTCTGCAAAACTAGAGTTCAGCAGCAGGGGCTGTAACCACACACACACACACACCACACACACACACACACACACACACACACACACACACACACACACACACACACACACACACACACACACACACACACACACTTCTGTCACACTTCACTGTGAAAAGGGGCGGGACATCTAATAAAGCGAGTGATTGGTCCATATCCTGCACTTCTGTTCAGAGCGGGCGTGTTTGGATCTTCTATTGGCCACATGATGTCACATGATGCGATTTCTCAGGTCAGAGGTCACCAAGCCTGAACGTTGCAGTGCAGTAGGCTGTGGAACCGTCATGAGCTGGTGTGTCTGCTCCGTGGTGTTGGCTTGAGTATGAGTGGACGTCTCTGGGGTGAATAGAGCAGTGTGAGCGCGCCTGTACTCTGCCAGAGTCTCTGCAGGCTTCATCAAGGCACATGTGAGACTGTGTTACTGACCGTCCTGACCCAAGATTTCCCCAATCCTCAGTCAAGACATCAGCAGTGTTCGGTGTTTATTGATAGAGCATGTGGCAGACACGCAGATCCATGCGTCTGATCAATGCCACAGATGATGACGGAGCCGGGAAGTGTTTAACATGCACATCTCAGCTCACATGTAGGAGACCGCAGCCAGATACTGTCAGCTTCCTTTCAATATCTGTAAAATATGACATATAGAGTTTAAAACTGAGCTCTGAGTCACACACACACACACACACACACACACACACACACTAATGAGTGGCAGCAGGTCTGGTGTTGCCCGTGGTTACAGATGTTATAGAATAACTGGACAGGTGTGTGTGTGTCAGGTATTGACGTCAAACACCCCTTCACTGAGAAACACACACACACACACACACACACACACACACACACACACACACACACACACACACACACACACTCAGGCTGATTGTGTTTGTTTCTGTTGATTTCTGATTTCATTCATCCACTCTGGACTCCGCAAACCCTCATTCCTTCACTCTCTCTCTCTCTCTCTCTCTCTCTCTCTCTGACGTCTGTTCTCTGTCTGTCATTCCCACAGATGCTCTTCAATAACTGCAGTTAGATGTGTGTGTGTGTGTGTGTGTGTGTG